GCTACTTCCCATAAGTTATTTGTGGTCACTACTTGGAAAGAGATAGATTATTTTACATAATTTCAGGAGAGTTGTGGATTTCTGATGTTGCATCAGTGTTTGGTGTTGTTAAAGTGATAATGAGGCTGTGAGACGAGGAAATCGATCAATGAGGCTTGTGAATATTTCTCAGGTTCCCTTATGAAGCAAAGGATGCCCTCTCTTTGCTCTGGTTGCAGGGAAAGTGGAGCATGGTGGACTTAGCACTGGCTTCTATTACTATCTCCAACACTTAGTTGTGTGACCTTAGATAGATCACATCTCTTTGGACCTCAGTTTCCCTTATTTGTAAAGTGAGAAGGCTGGAATCCTAGACAGTGGGCATCCTTTTTAGCTCTGACATTCTGTGGGTTCTATGTTTTATCTCCCTGGTGGAACCTTGGCAAAGGAGGGCCCCTTGGTGGACATCTCCCATCCCCCTGGCTTTAGCCTTCAGGGCAGGGCAGTGGCCTACTTGGGAATGAAGTATCAAAACCCTAAGAATTTTAGTTTTGAGTGGCTCCTTTTGGTCTACTAATAAAGGTAGCATTCTTTCTGAGATGCTTCATAACTCATACTCACAGGTTGAATGCCTGTGAGGGACAACTACCCCAGGTTCAAGGTACACTGTGGGCATGTTCTCCTAAAACTATAGCTCCTGAGCCTCTTCCAGTGTAGTTACCTTTAACAGCCAACCAGTTGCTACAGTAAGTTCAAAACAAAGGCATTAATGAGATGGCAGTGTAAGAGCAGTAGCTAAAAACATTTATCTCTTTGAACCTACGATGTACTTTCCCACAAACGTACCAAGAATCAGGGGAAAGACACTCATATAGAGTATACTAGTAGAGAAGCATGCATTTAGGGAACGTGTGGCCAAAGCAGCTCCCTTCGGCTATTCTAGAACCTGATGAATGTCCTTTCTCTTCTCATGATGTCTTCCTGCTATTTCCCCTTGATACAGCATCTCTGCTGGGCATGCCATTCCTTGGACCCATTCCCTGCCTAGTATAGCATCTCTTACTGGCTGAGTAGCTGCACTGTAAGATGCTATAGCCAATGGGGAGGGCAGTAAGGGAAGGGAAAGTAATCATTTCTTCTCCCTAAGAGATGAGGAGTAATTTCCTTTAGAACATGAGAATTTCCTTCCAAAAATGACTCTCTTCTCCCCAGAGCTGCCTCCTTCCTCAGCATACTCCCTGGGGAATATGTTTTGCTTTTAAAGGGCCAACTGGGTGATCCTATGGCAAAACAGTGGTTACCTACCATACGATACTATCCAGTTTAATTGAAGAACTTCATGCATCCTAAAAGGGTAAAAAAGTGTAAACATTACTTTATACTTCCTTTAAAATAATGACATCTCATTGTCTCTGTTATCTACCCCTAATATCCTGTAATTTCATCAAATGGGCTGGGTGAAATCAATTAATCAAGAATCCCCTGATTAACACCATACCTCCTTGCCCCCTCAATTACGTAAATATACATGTTGAATTGAGTGATACAATAGGACATTGCCACTCAATAAATAATTGGTGAAAGTGTTCTTTCCCTCCTTTAAATTTTTTAGAATGCTTCTGAGCTTTCTTTTGTCTCATGACTACCTACCTTATACTCCCTACTTTATCTGCGTATATGATGTGTCCTTCTCTAGGTCCCATCTTTCAGTAAAATGTAAACCCTTTCACCTTTGTATCACTAGCACCTAGGAAAAGGCCTTGCACACAGAGGGGCTTAATAAATGTTTAGCAAATGTAATTTGTTGAGTTATACACCTACTATATGCATAGTCCTGTTTTCGGTGCCATAGGGGGTATAAAGAGATGCACCTATCTTCAAGGATCTCAAAGTCTAGGAAGGGAGGCAGGGTGGACAGAGGGACTTGTGTGATCTCAAATTTTAAGTTCCCAGAGTAGAGACAGATCATTGTGCACTAGAAAAGTCAAGAAAGGATTGTTGTAGTGGTGGTTTTGGTTGTTTATCTTTTGTTCTTGAAGAGGACCAGTGACATCATAAGGGTGATGTCTTGACTTGCCTGTGAATTGGATATGAGTGGGTCAGAGCTGTGTAGAGTCATCAGTTTCATTCTCTCCTCCAGTGTCAAGAAAAAAGGTCGAGAGGAGTGGCTATGGCCCAGGGTGCAATGAGTTAAGTTAAGATCTTTTCCAGGTCTCAGTTCATCTAAGGCCACATCAATTCAATGACTAAGGGCTGGGAAAGAATTGAGACTAAAGATGCCCCAATTTACTATATATCAATCTGGGAGGAGAACACCCTGAAGAGTTTCTGGCTAGAACAGAAAACAATTGCTATTTACACTCATTCTAAGTCATTAAACCTAAATAAGGAGCCACCAAGGCTTGGAATGGGGCTATGATTGGTCATCCAATGAAAGCCAGAGTGATTTGGGTTTTAAAGTGGAGTCAGGTAGTTTCATTAAAAACGAAATGGGCTTTTAAAAACCTGTTTTGTCAGAGCTACTTTTCAAGATATCAAAAATGAAAACCACACAGGAGAAAAAGTAAATTTTCCCAGCTTCTTGAAAAAAGAAAAAAAATATAAATAAAAAGGAGAAGGATAAGAAATAGTAATAGCAGCATTCCCAAACTTTTGCTGGAATTGGCAGGTTGAGTCACCAGAGGACAGTGACTACTACTACCTGGTAAAGACAATGAATACAAAATGTTTATTCCTTCAGGGAAAGGGTGCAGAAAGGTGCTAAAAATGGACCAACCTCTCCTGAAGGGTCTTTAGACTGTGTTAGATTCCTTCTGGAATGTCCCAATACAAATGCCAAAATTTTACAGCTAGAATATGCCTAATTTAGAAGGATGGGGAAGAAAGTAAAAATTGGACAATATATGTATTCTCCTCCTGTAGGGTTTGGGGAATCTTCCACCGTGTTCTTTGTTCTATCTATTGCCTGAACACAGTCATGTTGACTTCAAGAGGAATTGGCCAAGTTTTAAAAGAGAAATTTGATATTTTTAAAAGAAGAATTATAATCTGTTCTTACCATTTATCTGTGTTACCTTGGGGAGGCCATTTAACATTTTTTGAGCCTCAGTTTCCTCATATGAGGAAATGAGATGATGCTTGTACTACTTACTCATAGGATTGTTATTAGGAAAGCAGTTTGCAAACCTTAAAGTGCTATAGAAATCCAAATTGCTCATCTCTTTCTCCTCCTCCTCCTCCTTTTTCTTTATTATTATTATTGATTTTGCTACTACTTCTATCACCACCACCATTACAAAATTACCTCTTGGCACCCTTCACTTGCTTTAAAAAAAAAAGACCTTTTAATAAGGAATGAGGAAGGTGTCGGTTTCCCATGGGAGTGGTTCCCACTGGATGCAGTTGTTCTGTTCTTAGGAACTGCTAGTTCCCTGTTCCCTCTCTCCTTTCCACACCTGGAAATTACCATCTGCAGTCAGCAGAGTCTTAAAGAGACTTCAGGATAGTATCCTGGGTGATTCATGCCAAAGCTTCAGTCCCATCTGATTTGAGCAGAAGTGATAATGCTACTTAGGACAGAGACACCTGAGTATTTATCAGATCCAAGTAGGACAAGCAACATGAATTCCCAATATATAAGTGCCTTTCTTGCTTTATCTACAAAACAGCTGGTGGAGACTACTTTTTCCTTGCCATTGAAAGAGCAGCCTACTTGGGTCTCTCCCGCATCTGTGTTCTTCCTGGTACTTTTCTGTTTGAGGTGAGATTATTTGGCAAGGAAACTTATATAACCCTGGGACTTATATGACCCTGGGCAAGTCTTTTTCCCTCTCTGGGCCTCAGTTCTTTCTAACAATGAAGGGGTTAGATTCTATCACTGAGATCCTTTCTAGCTCTCACAGTCTAAGACTCTGTGATACCGTCTCCACTATCCACCCTTTCTGCAGGTCCCCACCACCATTTTCCTCTTTTGGGCATCAGGGTGAGTGTAGATAGTTATTTCAGGCAAGGAAACTTATTTTAATCTGAATCCCTTCCACACACTCAAGGATGTGGGCCAGCCAGAGGAGTTGTTCTCTCTATCTCTGAGGCCAACCAGGGCTTCAATAAATACCAGCAATTATATGATTGAGAGGAGGAGACTATGGCTTTTTCCTCACCTTCCCATATATAGTATGCATACCCAGTAGAAGAAGTCCATTGCCTTCCCAAGGAAGGGGAGTGGCTTGGTGAGGACAGTTAAATATCACCAGGACATGCTTATTGTGGAACTCTATACAGATCAGCCGAGACCTGCTGGCCCTGTCAGAAGCATGGCTGGAGGTGCCATGTGGGTCATCCTCCCCTACAACCTGAGCAGAGTTGAGAGGGGAGCAGGGCAGTGTCTTCCTGGATTTTGGGAAAGAAGAACAGAGCTCTCTGGATTTCAGAGATTCTGTTTTCAGTGAAGCTTTCATGACTGTACCCTTCTCAAGTAAAAAACAAGAATTCAGAGGGGAGCATGTATAGCATAGGACAGAGAGATCACAACTGCATTTTCTTTAGTGTGTCAGGCTATAATTCTTCCCCTCGTGAGACTTCATATCTAGAAGGCCCCTAGTTGTTAGTGACCACAGCAGACCCCTCACCAATAGAGTAATGGTGGGGCTCCACTTGTAGCTTAGAGCCAATGCATAGCTATGTCTAATCCTGAAAAGGATTGATTAATTCATTAAATTAATTAATAATTAATAAAAATTAGCTAAGATTTTAGTCTCTAGATGAGGGATGCTAAGCCTTTTCTATTTGTTTCTAAATCCCTTTGGTAGTCTAATGAAGCCTGGGATCCCCTTCTTAGAATAATGGTTTTAAATGCATAAAATTAAATAGGTAGGAGTATACTTATATTACAATACAGTTATTAATACAGTTATCTATATAGTTATACTTCAAAAAATTCATAGACCCCAGGTTAAGAATGCCTGCTTTAGACTCTCCTAAGTCCTGTCTATGTCATATCTTATTTGTTTTGAATTTGAAAGGTTCCACTCTGACCAACGGAAGTCTACACTTGCATAGCCCTGTGAAGAGGAAAATTGAAGGGGACAAAGATTACGTCTTTGATAAGAGGCTCAGGTATAGCGTCCGTCAAAATGAAAGCAATTGTCGGTTTCGAGACATCGTGGTGCGAAAGGAAGAAGGATTCACACACATTCTGCTGTCCAGCCAGACTTCTGACAACAATGCCCTGACACCAGAGGTAAGAGAGAATGCCACAAGGGGTGATGAACTAGGGTCAGTGTCCACTGACACTTTGATCAAGACATTCAATATAATTACCTTTTTCTTAGCTACACTTAGAGGTTTCTATAAGGGGAAAGACAATTGATTAGTGGAAAAAAGCAAACCCATCAAAAGACTGTGTTTTGTTTTGTTTTGTTTTCCTACAGAATCAGAGCTGAAATGGAACCTTAGAGGTCATTTAGACCAACCCTTGACTAGTTAGGAAACCCTTCCATAACATTTCCAACAAGTTGTCATGCATACATGTGAAGACCTTCAGTAATGGGGAATTCACTATCTCTGTTCTTTGACAGCTCTAAGAAATTTGCTCTCTCCTCCCCCAACCCTTACATGAAGCCTAAATCTGCCTCTCAAGTCAAATCTAGAAGCATTTATTAAGCACCTGCTATGTGCCAGGCACTATGCTACGTGTTGGGGATACAGAGTAAGACAAATGAAGTCCCTCTTTTTCAGGAGCTCAGAGCTTTTCAGACTTTCTACCCATTACTCCTGGATTCCTCCCCTGGAGCTAAACAGACAAATCCATTCCGTCTTCCCCATGACAGCCCTGAAAATACTTGAAAATGATAATCACATCTCCCTAAACTCTTCTGTCTTAAAGCTAAATATCCCAAGTTTCTTCAATTTGTTCTTACTTGAAAGTGGTCTCCGGCTCTCACCACCTCGGCCCCCATTCACTGGCCATTAATCACAGAGACGCAGAATTGCAAAGGTCCTTAGAGGACATTTAGTACAGCCCTCACCTGAGCAGACAGCCCTTCTAGTCATTGAGGTAATCAGTAAGCATTTATTAAATGCCTGCTATGTTTCAGACATGGTAGTCCAGTGTCAAGATTACAAAGGCAAAGGACACACCCAGCTCTCAAGCAGTTCAGTCTAATGAGGGAGACAGCATGCAAATGGCTATATGCATGTAACATATATACAGGATGAATTGGAATAAACAGCTAGGAGACATCCAGCCTTTGAAGACCTCTAGAAATGGTAAACTCATTACCTTCTGAGGTGATCCATTCTACTTGCAGATAGCTCTAATTGTTGGAAGTTTTCCTTACAGCAAACCAAAACTTACCTCTCACATCTTTCATTCATGGATGTTAGCTCATCCCTCTATGGCCAGACAGACTAGGTCTAAACCTTTCTTCCACATGACATCCATTGTATTCCTTGAAGACAAATTTCTACCCAGTTCCTTCAGCTGATTCTTGCATGGCATGACCTTGAGGTCTTTCACTGTTCTGATTACCCTTCTGTAGATTGTCTCCAGCTTTTCTCCAGCTGAAAGTCTTCTGAAAATGTGGCTGAACTGAATACAATACTACTTAACTCATTCTGAACACAATGGCTCTCCAAATGAAATCTGAGACTACTCTGGCTACTTTTTCATTATCTATTGACTCTCATTGAGCTGGAAGTCACAAATTTTTGTCTAGCCATCTCCCTCTCCCCCACTGTCTTGTGCATGGATATTTTGTACTTGTTTAGGACTTTATATTTATCCCAATTAATGTGATTAGTAATCTTAGTGGATTGGCCTGTCATTCTAGGTTGTCAGTGTCCTTAGGTATATCTCAAGTTTCCTGCTATCTGAAAATTTGACAAATATGCCTTCATCTAAATCATTAATAAAAATGTTGAACAGAATGGGCTAACCAGAGACCCTCAGGAAAATCTACTAGAGACCTCCCTCCCTCCAAGTTGACAAGTTTCTATGTTTTCTTAGTTCCTGATCCCAATTTTTTTTCCTTTGAGGTCTCTTCACTTCTATGTTCAAGAGAGAAATGTATGTTCCTATAGCCCTTCTTCTAAATATTCCCCCTCTAAAGGGGGCAGGATGGGAAGGGATAGTATCCCAGGATCTGCTGGCTTGGCTGTTACTGAGAAATACCACAGGATTTGTCTGGAGGTGATTTCACTCAGGCCAACTCCCATCCTACCCCAGATCATACCTCTTTATAGAGCTGAGATTCACTCTTCCCTATGGGCAAGTCAAGACTTCTTAAGTATTTTTAAATACCCCATCCTTGAAGCGCAGTTTAATAGAGAAGAAGCTTTGAGTAGCAGAAAGAGACTAGAAATGTCATCAGAAGACCTAGATTTGAACCAGTTATCAGGCTTTGGCCAAGTCACCTTCATTCTTTGGTCTTCAGTTCTCTCCTCTATAAAAAAAAGGTCAGGCTAGATTGGATGCTTTCTAGATTTCCTTCTAGTCTCAACATTCAACATCAGCCCCTCTTTATAAGGATCTTCCCACTAAATCTGAGACTTGTTTTGTTTAACTCTTCTTTAATTTCTCTTAGTAGTGATACTAGTCTACGATACTGCCAGTATGAAGCTCTCTTTGACCTTGTTTGTGACCCTTCCCAGTCTTCTCTGTAACCATCCTTCCAGCCTGAATCAGTTTTGTGTTTTTGCTTTCTAGAAAAGATTAAAAGAGAGAACTCTTCTCTCTCTTGGCCCAGTTCCCCTCTTGGGATGGGTGGCCAGTTCTATAGAACTGTTTCTTTCTTAAGTTGGAAAGGGTAAGAGGTGGAGGAAGGGGTCACCTAGAACCTCCCTTGTTCCTCTGACCATTCCATTGCCTAATCAAGACCTCTAAAGTCAAGGGACGTTCTCCCTTTGGGTCAGCCAATGTGGTGCCTCACCTCCAATGGATGGAATATGGAACTCAATATCAGAGCCCTCAGCACATGACAGGGCTTCTCCAGCTTATTCTTCAATCTGTAATATAGATCTACAGATCTATTTATTTAGTCCAGTGCCTGACAACTATCACTCCTGCCCCAAAGTGCATCCCTGTGCCCTCACCCCTGCTCCAAAGCACATTCCAGTGTCTCTTGGTTTCACATTTAGGTTCATTAATTAAAGACATGGAGCTACTTTAAGGTTGTGTCTGTTGTAGCTAGGTTACCTTTGTGGAGTGGGTCTGACAAATTTTTAGCCTTCCAGCCAGAGTAAGATTTCTGGGAAGAGGACACGATTTTGAACAAATAGGAAGTATGCTTCTCTCTCAGCTCAGTCCTGCTTCCAGCGCTCCCCATTTACCTACAGTTCTTGGTAGCCAGTTAGCCCAGTAGCCTTAAGGTGATGGCAGAAATTTGTTGAGGTTCCAGTTCGTCCAGAGCCACCTGTGGGTGAACAAAGTGAAATCAATGGACATTGAAATGACCAGTCAGGATCCATCTCATTTTTCCAAGTTAAGTGGTTAATGGGTTTTCAGACATGAAGAAATATTGCCTGTATACCCGTTTTTCCTTCACAACCAATGAGCCTTTCTCATTTATAGCCCGTAACACTACCTGTTTAGGGTAACACCCCTTAGGTACTTGTTGGCATGATTTAGAAGCTGTGTGTCCTTGGGAGAATTACTTCATCTCCCTAGACTTAGTTTCCTCATTAGTCACATGAGGGCACTGTGCCTTCCAGTGCTGACATTCTGAGTCTTAATTAGCAAGTCATTTCAGTTCAGCTCAGTTCAACAGGGGGTAGCCTTAGTAGAATGGAAAAACATTGTTTTGGGGGATCAGATAACCTGAGGTAGGAATCCGGGTTCTGCTATTTACTACTAGGTAGAATGGTACATTGAGTAAACCACTGGACTTGGAATCAGAAAGACCTGAGTTCAAATCCTGACTCAGAAACTTACTATCTGGGTGACCCTGAGCAAGTCACTTAACCTCTGTTTACCTCAGTTTCCTCATCTACAAAATGAAGGATAATCACAGCACTTAACTTCACAAGGTAATGGAGAGGCTCAAATGAGATAAAACGTCTAAAGCACTTTGCAAAGCTTCAAGCACTACATAGGTACTATCATTACTGTTACTGTTGTCTGTGTCAGCTAGGGCAAGTCTCTTATAGAGAAGGAAACTGAACCTCACCTCGCAGTGTTGAAGAGTGGCCCCAACAAAGAAATATGTGGAGCCTGAAGGGGAAAGTGTTTTCCTTGTAGGGGCAATCAAAGAAGGCTTCTTGAAAGAGATAGTGTTTGAGGTCGTCTTTAAAGGATCGATAGGAGTTTAATGGGCAAAAAAAAGAGGAAAGAAGGCATTTAAGACAGACAAAATAGCATCAGCAAAGTGATGGAGGTGGAGCTCACAGTATGTGTTAAAGAGCAGAAATTTATTCAGTTTGTCTAGAGAGAAGGGGGAAGGGAATAAAGATTTATACAGCCATTTAGTATGTGCCCAGCACTGTGCGAAGCACTTCACAAACATTATCTTATTTGGTCCTCACAACAACTCTATGAGGTAGGTGGTGTTATTATCCCCATTTCTTACAGTTGAGGAAACTGAGGCAAGCAGAAGTTAATTGACTTGCCCAGGGTCACACAGCTAGTAAATGTCTGAGGTGGGATTTGAACTCAGGTCTTCCTGACTCAAAGCCCAGTGCTCCATACACTCTGCCACCTAGCTGCCAGAGTAGAGGATATTTGGAGGGTAATACTAGCACCGAGAAGGGAGGCATCTGATGCCAGATTGTGGAATGACATGAATGCCACATAAAGGAAGTTTGAACTCTATTTCAGAGGCAGTCAGGAGTCATGGAAAATGTTTGAGTTGAGAAGTGAAGCCAGCATGTATACTCTTCACTGTAAAGAGTGCCAAGTGTGAGTTTTCTCACTTCTAAGGTCCAATATTTGTTTACTTTCACCTTCCCCAGGAAACAAGAGCATGAACCCCTTGGAAGCTAAGTGTTCTGTGGGATCATTCAGTTACCTCCAATTCAACAGAAATTTATTAAAAACACACTATGTACAGAACCCTGCTCAGCACTGGGGACACAAAGGGACCATTTTCTTTTCATAAGATGTAGTATCCCAAAAGTCTTAGTGTGGTTTTAAGCTTTATGGCTTTCTTAAGTGTTAATAGCTTAAAGTCACATTCAGACTTTTCAGACACCCTGCATAGGTGATGATATTCCTGTAGTTGTGTTTGCTGTAACTGTCAATAGAGCATGGGTCAGAAGATAAGGGACAGTGAGATATTAGCAAAGAGGCAGGACTTTCACACCCATGCAGTTTCATCTTCCTTCCTGTCTAAGATTCCCTCCAAGTTCAAACTGAATTTGTGTGAGTAGGGATAGCTCGAGGGAGTCATCAGTTACTGGAGCTGGGCCAGCTGGCTTCAGGCTGTGTTTTCTTTAGCTATAGACCCTGGCCCTGCACCCAGGGCCCCTTAGTAGGCATTGGCTTCACATACCCCAGATTTGTGAAGCTGGCCAGCCTCCTGTCCCCACCATCCAGCAAACAGTTTCGAAGCAGACTGTGGAGCAGATGGTGGAGCGTTGAGGAGGAAGAATCTTCTTTTCCTCTATATTCATTAGAGGGTTCGTTCCTGACTCTCTTTCAGAGGCATATTAACCACATGGAAATGTTAGAAAAAAAATCACACCACGTTGTTTCCCCCAAACTTTTTATAGGCCATATTTTCATTAGTTTGAATCACTGGCCGGTTATAGCATGACTGAATGATAACAGCAGCAGCACTTCACATTTATACAGTAACTTTACGGTTTGCAAACTCTGGTTTGCAGCCAGCTCAGAATTCCATGGAAGTCAGTAAAAAAAATGGTGATGAATGAGTCTGGTTTTCTTGTTCAAGTTCATGAAGGTACAAAAAGCAAGCCTTTCTTGGCCCAAGGGGAAAAAAAATCTTCCCTTCAACAACAACAGTCCTCAGGCAGGTGTTCTTAGTTAGTGAGGTCAGTGAGTTAGTTGTCTCATATGTGGCTTAGTTTCTTCAGCATTCAAACTTCTTGCTATACTGATTAAAAAACCAAACCAAAAACCAACCGAGTCTTTATCACTAGCTTTTGTCAGGAAGAGAGGGTTGATGTGGGCTTCCTACCCCAACCTCCTCCTCTCTCACCATGCTGGTAAAATCTAGAGGCAAATAAGAAAGCCCAGAGACTCCTGTGAGCCTTATGTGGAAGGTGTGAGCAAAGCCCTCACCTAATCTGACTTTGGGTTGGATGCCCATAAATAGTCCAAAAAGTCAGCTATCCCATTCTATGTGGGGAGACTTCTGTTAAGTGAAGATTTCACATTTGATCTAAGGAGAATTGGGATGATATTTATTCATAATCCTGTGCAGCCCCTGAGGAGAGAGAAGTTCGTGAATTTGTCTTCCTTGTCTAGAGAAAATCACTGGTACGTGCTTGAAATTCCAATTTTCCTTGGCAGAATGGCTGAATGATGCCAGGGTTCTAATGCTCTTCCCTCTCATCCCTCTCCCCACTCTAGCTTTGGAAGTCTGAAAAGGAGGCTGCAGGGCAAGTGGTCCTCATCTTCACCTGATTAGAAGTTGTAATCTAGGAGAGAACTTTTTAATTGGATGTTTTCTCCTTTTTGCTCAAGATGAGTTATTATGAGTAGGGACCATCTCCAGTAGGTCAGTTCCCCCATATCAGATTAAGTGAGTGTTCTTCCATCCCCTACGTGATGGAGCAATGGAGAACTTGCTATTTCTAGAGGTAATCAACACTACTTTAACAACTCTAATTGTTACAATTTTGATGTCTTGTAGCATGGATCCCTGTACATAGCAGGTGATTGATTAATATTTGGTTAGATTTTGAATACTAGCTACAATAATTCAAACCAATGAGAAATCCCTGTCATTACCCCTAGTCCTATCTGTGAAATGAACCTATTTGTGACCAGTTTGACATTGTTAACAAATTCATTAATTGTAGTCCCCTGCATGATAAATTCCACTGAACCTGTCCAGGGCTGGAGTCTAAGGTTTAATTCTTAATTTTCAAAATGTAAGTAAAAACTTGCTTTCTCAGGGGTCTGTGGCATAACCTTGGAGTCCTAGATGCAAAGAGCAGTCCTTACCCATGCCACAGGCCAAGCTTTGTTATCTCTAGAGGGTTTATACTGAGGAAGAGACCTCTGATCTATGAGATAATACAGCTCAGAAAGTAGAAGAGATGGGGAAGGTTTAGAACACAGGGCAACTTGACCCAACATATGGCCATTCCGCCATATATACCTTTCCCGTCACCAGTTAGTTACCCCCAGATGCTGGACTCGTAGCCTGTGACCTGCTGAGACTGAGTGGTGATTCTTCTTTCTGGCATTTTAAAGCCTTTCAGAAGTATGGTCCTAGTCCATACTTTTAGACTGGTTGATTACACATTATTTCCCCTCATCCCATCTCCCATCTACATGTTTTTCACAGGCTGCCCTCTATGCCTGGAATGCTCTCCCTTCTTATTTCTACTTCTTGGAACTCCTAGAACCCTTCAAAACTTAAGTACCATCTTCTTCAAGAGACTTTTCCCACTTCCCCAGTTGTGAGTGTTTCCACCCACCAAAAACACCTGTGTATTTAATTTGTACATACTTTTTATCTAATTGTCTATGTAGGTGTTGGTTCCATGAGTAGAATGTAAGCTTCCCGGAGGGCAGGTGTGTTTTAATTTTAGTTTTTGTGCCCCCAGCCCCAAAGCACAGTACCTGGCACAGAGGAGATGACTAATACATGCTTGTTGAATTCAACTGAATTAAATTAAGTCGAAACAAATGCAGTTATCACCACAGAGAAATACACAGAGTCATAATCACACAGCACCAGAAGGCCTTGACATCCAGGCTGGAGAATCAGTCATTAACCACCAGGCCTAATTCCTCCCTTTGTGAGATGGGTTGCAGCTGTGCTAAGCATGTCCCATTGTTTACTCTTCTCTGTACACAGATTATGAAGGAAGTTCGGAGAGCATTGTGCAACGCGTCCACGGACGACAGCAAACTCTTGCTTCTCAGCGCGGTTGGAAGTGTGTTCTGTAGCGGCTTAGATTATTCCTACTTACTTGGCAGGTTGTCCACCGACAGAAGAAAGGAGAGTACCAGGATTGCAGAAGCTATAAGGTGACCCACACTGACCCTGAGCTCTGTCTGCTCTGGGCCTCAGGACAGCCTCTGATTGACCAGGGCTCAGGGAGCACCTGAACAGTACATTGGGGTGATAGTTTAAGGGAATACAAAGCAACACGTTGCCATAGGAGGGGGCTTGGTGACTGTTTTCCTTTTTTTTCCCTCCCATGTATAAATCTCAGTCCATTCCCAGACTGAAATGCTCATTTGTGTATCTATTCCTGTCCTTCTGCTCATCCACTTAAAATTCTTCTTTTCAGATGAAAATAAAAAGCCTGTGCCTTTATTTATTTATTTACTTTCCAAATTGACTGTGGCATTAATTCCCTGGGGGGCAGACCTTGACCTGTCAAACTCCTGTTGTGTGTTTTGTTAATCAGAGATGCCCAAAAGATTTGGTAGCTCTGATTCATAGCTGCCTGTCTGCTTGGCCCTGGGAGAGGCAGGGAGCTAGACGAACCTGTTCTGCCGCTCATTGAACAGTCTTCTCTGCCTCCAGTGAAACAGGAATGCCAGAGTTTCTGAGTAGGGGCCAGTTGCTGTACGTACTGATAACAGGAGTTGTGTTTTAACCTAACTGGGAGCTAAGAATTAGATCTAAGGCCAAGGAGGTCACCTGCAGATTATGACCTTTTATTATACGGTTCATTACTATCTGGACCGAATTGTGATCTCTGAACTAATATGCACAGTGAAATCCTAGTGTAATGTGCTAAATAAGACTGCTTGGCCAAGGTCAGCCTTGTACACGATGGATAGTCTTTGTAAAAGGGTTCCCTTGTATTTGTTCTACTGATCAGGACCGCTGGTGGGACAGTCCCAATGCAGCCCTCAGAGTGTTGGCAAGTAGACCACTTCTCCCCAGAGTCAGGCGAAGAAGAGTGCCAGATTCTGTGTAAGACTTGGTCCTGATTACAGCCAGGAGAGGCAGGGAAATTCTGCTGATGATTGTGGGATTCCCCCAGTGCGTCCTGCCTTTGGGAGCTTTGTCTCCATGTCTTTATTGGTTTGGTGCCTCTGACAAAATCCATTCTCTCTTTTAGAGAAGTGATCCTGAAACTTTCTCACCTGACATATTCTCACTATAACCTATTCCAAACTTCTTCTGGAAAGAGTTTCCATATTGTTGAGAGAGGAGAAAATAGAAACTTTTTTTCCTTTTCTTCAACCCAGAGAAAACAGGGACAATGAGGAGGAAGAAATGAATTGTAAACTCTTAAAGTTGGAAAATATCTTAGTGATCTTCTAGACCAAGCCCCTGCCTGAAATTTAGACACTTTGTCACCTAGCCCCCAGAGTTCATTTCTATCTGTTTTTAGGTTATTCCTTAATATGAGCCCAAAGCAGTCTTTCTACAATTTCTTTCTTTTTTTAAAAATAAATTTATTTATTTTTAGTTTTCAACATATAATTCCTATTCATCTTTCTAGTTCATTCCACTGGGTCAAACAAAATAAATCAATTCTCCCTCACACCTGAGAGCCCTTCAGATTCTTTGTATTTGCTTTTTTAGCCCCTAAGACAGTTAAACATTTTTGCTAATTGATTGACAACTATCATGTGCTCCTAATTTTTTTTTCTTTCTCAGACTAAACTTCCTTAGTTCCTTTAATCAGTCTTTGTATGACATAGTCTCTAGTCACTCTAGGTTATCAATGACCCTCTTAAAATTTGGTGCATTAAGTAATAACAGATTTCTAAGTAAAGGTCACCTTGCTTTGAATCCTACTCTATTACTTGCTTCCTGTGTAACCCTGGGCATGTTATTTAGCTCTGTGGGCCCGAAGTCCAGGTGTCAGGTGATGAAGGCTTGAACCAGGGTGTTGGCTATAAGTGGGGAGAAGTAGATGTATCCAGGATATGTTAAGATAAAAACAGTAAGGCACCAGATTGAATGTGTAGGGTAAGGTCAAAAGAACAGCTAAGAATGAAACTCAGGTTGTAAGCCTTGGTGACCGGGAGGATATTGGTGTCCTCAATGGTAATAGGGAGGTGAGAAAGAGGAGGTTTTTAGGAAATAATGAGTTCTGTTCTGGACACACTCAGTTTGAGATGTCTACAAGATGTCCAGTTTAAGGTGTTGAACAGGTAGTCGGTTGAGACTGGAGGTCAGAAGAAAAGTTGGGGCTACATAGATATGATGATTGAATCTTTGGAAAGTGATGAGATTCTCACCTTGATTAGATCGTATAAAAGGAGAAGAGAGGTCCCAGGAAAGATGCTTGGGGTAGGATGTGGTTTAGACTCAAGCAAAGGAAACTGAGATTGATCCAGCTTCAGTACTCAACACCTTTTTAGCCTCCTCAGCTGTCTCTCCCCTCTGATTGGAGGGCTAGAGGGCAGAGGAGTAACTCCTTCCAAAGCCTTCTTACTTTATAGAGGGCTCAGAGCTTCCCAGCTAAATTCTTTATTTTCCATACGACACTGCGTGGCAAACATCTGTACCCTCTGGTGGCCACCCCAGGCCCCTTTCAGCTTCCTTTTGGGTACTGTCTTTCCTATTAGACTTCAAGCTCTTTGAGGGTAGGGATTGCCTTTCTTTTTTCTTATTTGTATCGCCAGTGCTCCACAGCATCTGTCACATTGTAGGCGTTCAATAAATGTTTATTGACCATGACTATAACTATGAGAAGAGTAGTCAGGCATGTGGGAGGGGAACTGGAGAAAGAAGTGTCATGAAAAGCTAGAGAGTAAAAAGTATCCTGAAGAGAGTGATCAAAAATGCTAAAATCTGGAGAGGAGTCAAGAAGGATTGGCATTGAGGAAAAGCCATGACTTTTGTCAATTAAGAGATCATTGGTCCCTTTAGAGAGAGCAATTTCAGTTTAATGATGAAGTCAGAAGTTAGACTGCAAAGGGTTTAGAAGACAGTGGAAGGAAATGAAATGGAGGCGCCAGTTGATAGCTTTCTTGAGGAGCATAGCCATGAAAGGAAAGAGAGATACAAGTTGATAGCTAGTATGGATCAAAAGAAGGAGGAGACATATCAAAGTGTATGTATAGATTAGTAACTTTTATTGCATACCACTGCATAAATTCTTTTCCAGAATGGTTAGACCAATTAATGGCTCTAGCAATGGCATATTAGTATTTCTGTATTCCAAATCTCCTCCATAATTGAGTATTTCTATCTTTTACCATCTTTGCCAATTTGAGTGCTATAAGGTGATTCTCCAGTGTTGTTTCAATTTTAATTTCTCTTATTATAAGTGTTTTGAGCATTTTGTCACATAATTATTAATGGATTGTATTTCTTTCCGAATGACTTGTCTTAATGATGTTAAGCACAGGTAAGTGTAGGGATCCTCATGACCAGCAGAGTGATGAAGTTTCAGCCACAGCAGCCTGTGAAACAAAAAATACAAAATGGCTCTCAGTCGTGTGCCCCCTTCTGATTCTCCAGGGACAGTGCCAAGATGACATAAAATGGGGCAGAGAGAATTACACAGTTTTTATACTTCCCACAGACTTCAGCTTGACTATTATTACACTAAATATGTCCAGTGACCAACAAATGTGCAGATAACTGGAGGAACAGAATCACATCAATCTTTATTTTATCAGTGTTAAGTGAAACCAAAAGAAAAAAGGAAAGTACAGCCAAAGAAAAGATGGTATGAGGTTTTCCTTAAATAATGTGCAAAGGAAATGGCAGAATTGTTTTTATTGTTTTGTCATATACCCAAAGATATCAAGAAAATTCATTTCAGTGGACATTTGGTCATCTTGTATTGAAGAGCTCAGGATAAGCATTAGCAAAATAGACAACCAGGGTATTAATTGCAATGTGTGCACCAACAATCTGCAAAGGAAAGAGAGGTAGAGAAATTTAACGAGGAATTCAGTAGGAGCCCCCAAATTAAATAAGCATAGAAAATTGGATCAGATGATAGTAGGATTATCAGCTTAGAGTTGGAAGAGACTTCAAGGGCTCTCTAGCGCAACCCTTTCATTTCCAGTTGGGTAAAATCAGACCCAGGAAAATTAAGTGACTTGCCCCGAATCATATGCATGGTAAGCATCAGAATCAAGTAGGATTTGAACCCAAGTTCTTTTACTTCAGAGCCAGTGATATCGCCACCACACCTTGCTTCTGTGCAAAAGTGGGAGTAGATGAGGATGGAAAAAATATATTGGAAAACATGGATAAGGAAAAAGGAATGAGACAGGTCAAAGGCTTAAAGATTGCACAGAGGCATCACCCCTGTGTATCATGAATACCTTCTTCAAGAATCACTATACCCTCCACAAGAGTCTTCTCTGATTTCTCTGAAACTGTCCGTTTGTCATTTTTAATGGCACAGTGGTATTTCATTACATTCATATACCATAATTATGTTAGCCATTCCCCAATTGATGAGCATCCCATTGGTTTCCAGTTCTTTGCCACTAAAAAAAGATCTGCTATAAATTTTTTTTATAAATGTATCCTTTTTCTCTTTCTTGGTATTTTTGACATATAAGCCTAGTAGTGCTATTGGTAGATAATAATATAGTTACATTTATATAGTGCTTTCAGATTTTTTTACCCTCACAACTCTGAGAGGTAGATGCTATTATCACCCCCATTTTGCAGGTAAGGAAACTGAGGCAAGCAAAATTTAAGTGACTTGTCCAGGGTCACACAATAAGTATTTGAGACAGGGTTTGAACTGAGATCTTCCAGACTCCATCCATGTGGAGCACCCCCATCCCACTGTACCACCTAAATGCCTCATAAATCAAAGAATATGAACAATTCAGTAGCTTTTCAGGAGCAGATAGCAAGTAAAACAAGTATTACATGGAGGGCAAAAGGAAAGATTGTGGTGAATGTGAGCAGATTGATTGCAATTTATAAAAAGTGAGGAACTTTGAAGAATGACTGGGGGAAAAAAGACATTTTGATCAAGGGAACAGAATGAGAGATACCAAGTGGACAGTCCTCATGCTACATTGACATCCTTGTGCTATGAGGAGAAATCAAAAATCCACCCAGCATGTGGACCCCATGT